ACAGAACCTATACTCCTGATATACAACATATTATGGTAGGTCCTATAGACAGAACCTATACTCCTGATATATCACTTATTGTGGTAGGTTCTATATACAGAACCTGTATTCCTGTGTTGGAACAACACAGAGCTCCACTGGCCCATATCCTTTCGGCATGCTCACATGCTTAGTTCAGTTGTTTACATTCAGTACCTCATGCGTAAAGCTGGATGAACTGTTGATGTAGTAGGATATAAGCTGCATTATCTGGGTATATTCTAATTCATTGATCTTCTTAATCAACTCACAAGTTATACCTGGAGACTTTTGGTAGTAAACTGTTGTTACTTTGCAATCAATGACTGGTACTAGTTCTGTATTACAATTCCAGACGGCAGTAGTGTGCCATCGTTATTACCATGAATACCACTTCCACGTCTTCTTAATCAACTCACAAGTTATAACTGGAGACTTTTGGTAGTAAACTGTTGTTACTTTGCAATCAATGTCTAGTACTAGTTCTGTATTACAACTCCAGACGGCAGTAGTGTGCCATCGTTATTACCATGAATACCACTTCCACGTCTTATTTTGAGCCCAATAAATTTCGAGTTAGTGATTCCAGGCTCTTCTTAATACGCTTTTGGAAACTAAACACAGTATTGTAAAACTTGAGTACTCTTGCACGTATGTTAATAGTGCTATATCTGGGATAAACAAACGTATGCTCTAATAATCGAATTGAACGAATTCATCTTGCATGATTATCTTTCTAAATACAAATTGTCTCTTTATTGTTTGTTTTTGAATTTCACGCGAAGCTACACGAGGGCTATCTGCGCTAGCCGTCCCTAATTTAGCAGTGTAAGACTAGAGGGAAGGCAGCTAGTCATCACCACCCACCGCCAACTCTTGGGCTACTCTTATTACCAACGAATAGTGCGATTGACCGTCACATTATAACGCCCCCACGACTGAAAGGGCGAGCATGTTTGGTGGGACAGGGATTCGAACCGACGACCCTCAGATTGCGAGTCGAGCGCCCCCTAACCACCTGGTCGTCTCTTTATTAGAAATCTATCTATCTGTCCACCAATCTAGTCATCATACTTGAAAAAAGTTTGAAAGTTTTTACCAGGATTTAAAATATTCTTCGGGAGTAATCTTATAATAATCATTCTTTCAAGCTTCCACTAACGTAAACAATCAAAACGCAATGATTTATTTAGTAAAAATGTTTTAATCACTTCAGCTTTGTGTCCATTTTGTAATACGAAGAATAACAACATATAATATAAGCAAAACGATGTTCGACAGAATCAACAAACCGCTTCTGCTAACGTGTAAAAACAAAAAAGAAGCGTCCTGTAGGTGTCGCAACTTTACACTTCAAGTGTAAAAAAAAAAAAAAACAACCTCTAAAATATAGAGATACCGAGTAGTAATAATACATGTTGATATTTAACATTGTTTCTTTACTAACTGTGGTGTGCCCCCAGGTGGCACAGCGGTATGTCTGCGGACTCATAACGCTAGAATCCGGGTTTCGATACCCGTGGTGGGCAGAGCACAGATAGCCCATTGTGTAGCTTTGTGCTTAATTGCAAACAACAACAACTGTGGTGTAGCCTTATTAAACAGATTCCTCGCCATGATAAAAAATGTGTTGATGTGTAATTATACTCATTAAATTCTTGTATCCTTCCGAGATTCGCTTGCATGACAAGTTTTACAACAGCTTTCGGCTAAAGATTGATTCCAAGAAAATGAGTACCATTTTCCTTAATTAATATGTCAGTTAACACAAGGAGATGAAATAAAGAGTTTTCGGAAGAGTATTTGTTTGTTTGTTTTGGATTTCGCGCAAAGCTATACGAGGGCTATCTGCGCTAGCCGTCCCTAATTTAGTCAGTGTAAGACTAGAGGGAAGGCAGCTAGTCATCACCACCCACCGCCAACTCATGGGCTACTCCTTTACCTAACGATAG